GCCAGACTCTCTGAGTTCTGGCATCCAGCGGGACTTAACATCTGGAATGTTAAAAGTCAACAGCTCTGCTCTCTGAGAGCTGGGAGGGTGAGAGGACGCCGGGAGGGAGGGTTGTTGAGCCCTGGAAGGACAGAGCTCCGTGGGGGAAAAAAGGCGCTGGCACACGCCATTTCTCTCTCCCATCCCCCAGCCAAAATTCCAATGGGAACCCATTCCCGTCGCTGAACTTGCTGGCACTGCGCAAATGCCCAAAGCTGTGCTTCTGTGGATCCATCCCTCCAGTGGGCCTGCCTCCCTACCAGTGCTGCAGGGCTCTTCCCTCAGGGGACCACCAAGGACAAAGCTAGCTAAGCCTGCCCCTCCCGCCTCTGTGCACCTTGCGGATCCACCCTGGCTAATATGCCCTTGGCCAGATCCCATCCAAGCAGCACCACAAGCCTGGCAGTGTGCAAGCAGCCCAGACAGGGGCCACACCACTCCACAGTGAGTCCTGCCCCTGGGAGAAGGGAAGATAAGGTACATACCAGTCTGACTGTGGCCCCAGTGGTGGGCTGGGGGCAGACATCAGGTCTGACTGCGACCCTGCCCACCAACACACGTTTCTCCAGACAGCACAGGGGAAGTGCCCTGCAGTTTGGAGCTACCACTGGGACTACCCAAAATGATGAAATGGAATTCTCCTCAAAGGAAACTCCAGGAAGTAGTGACAGCTAACGAATTGATCAAACTGATTTAAGCAATATAACTGAACAAGAATTTAGAATAATGGTCATAAAATTACTCGCTGGGCTTGGAAAAAGCATAGAGGACAGCAGAGAATCTATTGCTATAGAGATCAAGGGACTAAGAAATAGTCATGAGGAACTAAAAAATGTTATAAATGAGGTGCAAAATAAAATGGAGGTGACCACAGCTCAGATTGAAGAGGCAGAGGAGAGAATAGGTGAATTAGAAGATAAAATTATGGAAAAAGAGGAAGCTGAGAAAAAGAGAGATAAAAAAAATCCAGGAGTATGAGGGCAGAATTAGAGGATCAAGTGATGCAGTCAAATAGAACAATATCTGTATCATAGGAATTCTAGAAGAAGAAGAGAGAGAGAAGGGGGCTGAAGGTGTACTTGAGCAAATCGTAGCTGAGAACTTCCCTGATCTGGGGAAGGAAAAAGGCATTGAAATCCAAGAGGCACAGAGAACTCCCTTCAGACGTGATTTGAATCCATCTTCTGCACCACATATCATAGTGAAACTGGCAAAATACAAGGATAAAGAGAGAATTCTGAAAGCAGGTAGGGATAAACAGGCCCTAAGACAAAGGTAGACAGATAAGGGTAGTAGCAGACCTATCCACTGAAACTTGGCAGGCCAGAAAGGAATGGCAGGAAGTCTTC